GGTAAAATTTAAATGGCCATAACGCTTATGCCACAATGTACCATCTGATTCAGTTGCGGAATAACACCTATTTTGTTTGCCTTGAAACATATAAAGGTTCCCAACTTTATTCGCTTTCAGTATACACTCGCCGTTTTGTATAACTTTAGCAAAATGTGGCCCAAAATGTATAACATTGTTCTTTTGCACTGACCGGCTGACGGACATAAAGTTGCCATTCATTTTCGGTACATACAGTACATCTGACAACACCAAGGTACAAAGTTCTGTCTGTAACTTCACCTCTCCTCTGCCTTCGGCCTTCAGGAAACCAGCGTCAGCTAAACCGATCATTTCAGTGTGCGCAATAAATTTTGAAAATAACGTCTTATCGCAACACATATGGCTTGTTGCTCCGCTGTCCAGACACCACATGTTGTTCTCTATCTTTCCAACGTCCAACGCATTTAACAAGCTGCTCTGCTTTTCCATCTCTTTCTTTGTCGATTGCTTTTTCCCTTCACCGCGAATTTTCTCACGCTTGCACTGTGCCTTGTAGTGCCCTTTTTCGCCGCAGTTGTAGCAAACGACGATTTTTGAATTCCTTTTTGAATTCGCTTTGGAATGCGCGACGATCTGCTGCGTAGCTATAAATGCTCTTGCATTCTCGCTCTCTCCATCTGCATTGCCTCTGCGCTCTCCCTCTTCCATCAGCTTGATACATAACACATCAAATGACGGTAAATTGTCACGCGTCTCAATGGCGACGACAAAATTTTCGTATGGTTCGGGCAAGCTTGACAACAACACGATTGTTTTTAACTCATCATTTAATTCGATGCCAACTGTACACAAACCATCCAGAATTTCGTTAAATTCGTGTATGTAACTTGAAATGCTTTGGCCTTGAAACATGCGTTTGCCTAGCAATTTCTTGTACAGCGACACTTTCCGTACAGGTCCACTCGGCTGATGAACGTCCTTTAACTTTTTCCATGCCTCGTACGAAGTGTTGCAATTTTTAATGAAGCCCAATTGTGAAGCTTTTACACTTAGCGTTATAATTGCTAATGCCTTTTCATCTTTTGGCCTTGAACTCTCAGTATTACTAGGTTCAGCACCTGATGCCACACTCCACAATTCCGCGTGCACTAAGACAGATCGCATCTGTATGCTCCATGAGTCATAGTTATGCTCTTCCAATTTGTCTATTTGATATAGCGCACTCATTTTTTAAATGTTATATTTCTTGAGTCACCAAACGATTACTATTTCACAATACTTTGAACTTCTCCTATGAGCCTATATGCCCTGGGCCCATAACCTATTGAATAGATTATATATTCGCTGAAAAGGGAAGGGCTCAGTAGGAGTAAAGTAAAAGACAATAGTCGCGGACCGCCGTGCGTCTGTTCGCTTTAGAGTTTTATTGGAGACTGACACTTTTGCTATACATATTCTTTATGCTTACATTCGTATGCAACAGTGACAGATAACTTGTAGATAACATAAGATTATTATCTGCTTATATTAACATGCGTGCATTGGTACTTATGTTTGTATTGATTTTCAACAATACATATAATGTTAAAATATATTTTGATAATTATAATCGACAGAACTATTTTTGATGTGTTAAATAAATAAATAAATAAATAAAGTTGATCAAAATTGTTCAATTCTTCGATAAGTTATAAGCGAAACAACTCCAGTACCACGACCATAAACTGCTCCTTCTTTCTTCTGCTATGACACACCGCGGGAAGTTTATTTGGGTATGGGTTATTTGAATTTGTATATATATTATTTAATTACAACATTTTGGCATCGCTTTTAAACATATTTTTATTTTTTTTAATATTTTGTTTAATTTTATACTTTTTATAGAATTTCCATACCCGGGTCAGACCAGCATGGCATCCCAAACAATAAAATATATATTTAAAAAAACTAGTTGTCCTGTTTTTTGTCCTTTTTTAATTTTTCTATCCCGTTTTTTTCGCTTTTTAAGGTCTCTATGTCCTTGTTTTGTAGCGATATGCCGATTACACTGATCCCAACGAAGTTTCTTTTCTTATATTCAATAAGAATATGATTTTGCTATCAAAACTTTTCCCCAAATGGCTAAATATAGTCCATTTAAAGTGGGTTGCTTAAAGCGCCAATGAACATCCTAACAATTTCTTAAATAAGCTAAACTGGAGCTGACATTGTCTGCTTACTAGTGGCTATAGCCACTAAGTTTAAAGATCGTATTCAGTTTCCTGCCAGTAGAGCAAGCACTTGACTTTCGATCCGGTCTCATTCGCTAAGATCTGTACCTGGCTGTATTCAAATATTTCAGGAATTTTTAAGCACCTCACCGTATTGAATGCTCTCAAACGAACAGATTAGCATATGTTTATTAAACACAAAAGCGCTAACCATCAACAGTTGCCACTTCTGCTCCATGTTGACCATAAGAGCGCTGAAAATCAGCAGATCGTGTCAAAAGCATCAACCCACGCGGCGTATACGCAACGCAGCGCATTCGGTTTTGAAACTTGCGGTACTTTCAACGTACGCGTTGCATGGGCTCGGCGTTCAACGCTAATGCTCCGTGAATATGCAACGTGAGGCAGCGGTCACTGGCGTTGTTATCATCATCAATGCACGATTTTTGCGCCATGTCGAGGCCAAAATGTTTGCCAACGACGAATAGCCGCTTGTGCTAATGTGCGGTTGGCGGTTGGAGCGGTTGGAGCGGTTGAAGCGGTTGTTGCGGCCGTCGAGATTAGCCGAGCCGAGCGATGCATGGACACCAAATGCTCGTCCAACCGAGCTTTCTTCCTCTTCTTTTACTGCATTTACCTGAAAAATCAAAATTCCAACACGCGCACAGATTGTCTGGCATTTTACTACCACCACGACGACACTGCACAGTGGGAATAAAAATGTTTTTGCTGTTGCTATTGTCTTAACTTTCAGGTATCCTATTGATTTTCCACCTTTTAGCTTTTAATTATAATTTATCTTTTATTATTTTAGTATTTTAATTTCAATTTAGGATTTGTTTTAATTTATATATATTTATTTATAATTTATATATTTATTTTTTATTTTTTATTGCTATTTCTTTAATTCTATAAATAAAATTCCATAAACATATGTTAGGCCTAATAACGTCGCTATCTATTCTCTGCTATGAATCGGGACATAGCTAGCTGCTTGGCAAATAAAATCCCCGACCGAGTCGGATTCGTTATTATATAATTTCTATAGGCTTTTTAACTCTTAAGTTTTATTTAGTTAAAGTTCGCAATTGTTTTGTTTGTTTTTTACATCGACAGCTTTGTTTGAAATAAATAAATATATAAATACCTATATAAATACATTTATAAGATTCTTTCTTAGCACTCTTTTCAAGCTAATTTTCATTTTACTTTTTATGCATCCTTACGCTTTTTTAATGTCTATTCTACATAAGTCTATTCCCATCATCTTTTAAAGATTTGTTTTCTTCGTTTTCTCATAGTTTCTGATCATATAGAAAGAAAGGAACCTAAATGATAATTCAAAAACGTACAACTTTCAAGAATTTTTGTGATTTTCGCAACAAAAATTTGTATTTTAAGTCTATTCCCATCATCTGTAGAAGTTTTATTTTCTTCGTTTTCTCACATTTGTTGATCACATAGAAAGAAAATAAACTGACTGATAATTCAAAAACGTACAGCATTCAATAATTTTTTCGATTTTCGCATCATAAATGTCTATTCTAAGTCTCTTCCCATTATCTTTAGAAGATTTGTTTTCTCATAATTTTTGATCATATAGAAAGAAAGGAAACTAAAATATAATTCAAAAACGTACAACATTCAATCATTTTTTCGATTTTCTCATAAAAAAAAAATGAAGCCACGGTGCAAGGACCACGACAACACGTTGAGGAAGGGCATAAGGTTGGGCATGGGGCAGGAGAATGACGAGGGCGCTGGAATGTTGACGCTTGAGCTAAAGAAATGATTGAATGACATGCCGCAGCGGCTGGCGCTGGCACTGCCACTGGTGCTGGCACTGGCACTCACACATTTTACACACTTCAAATATGCAAAAGAAGTCAAGAAGGTAGCTCGGGGGAGAAAAAATGCCATTTAAATGCAAAGCATATTTTCGGTGGCAAAATAAGTGAAAAGGTGAACAAAAGGTGTGTATGCCGGTGGGCAACGCACAAGTTACCTTTCACACCCGCAAATAATCAAGTTGAATGTTGACACGCGTAAGCGGGCACTCACACAAGCGCACGCACACCTACACATAGACAGACAGACAGGCAGACAGACAGGGAGACAGACAGGGAGACAGTCGGGAGCAAAGGCAACGTGGGAAAAACTGCGTTCCAAATGTTGCATGACTTTTGAGCTGGCAAAACTTTTTCTGGCGCAGTGTTTGTTTGTTTGTTTGTTTGAAATGTGAATGTATATGTGAATGGGGCGTGTGTGTGTATGTGTATGTGTGTGAGTATGTGGGTGCAGTCATCGAGCTGTTTGTCTTTTAATTGTTTGCACTTAAGTTCTTTGTAAGTTTGTTTGCATGTTTGTTGGTTTGCGTCTGCATGGCCCGTTTATGACTTGTGTCTGAGAGGTCGTTAGACGAGCGCTCAAGCACGTTACAGCCACAAAGTATTTTTCCATTTAATGCTTACGAATCGCAGCGATTGTGTCGCAGAAATTTAGATTCATGCGTTTTTTATTGACGCCATTATACAAGTATTATAATTACAAAAATTTAAATGAAAGAACTTAAGCAGTGGATAGGTAGTTGGGGAAAAAAACTATATAATAGCTGTTTATTTGGTTACTTGAAACATAACTGTAGTTATTACGATTAAATATGAAATAGTATCGAATAGTTGATTAAGCCATCTAATAAAGCCATCCATAATAGGGATAGTGTCTTCAATAGATTTTCACCTCCACCAGTAAGTTGTTTTTTTTTAAAGTATTTTTAAGTAAAAACTGAAGCTTGAAATTAAACTCAAAATGAACGCTTTTCTAACACTTACATCTATCATTATTGGATGTAGTACTGTGCAATGTGATCGGGGCACAGTGTCGGATCTCAGTGATGATACATTTGAAATGCTCATTGCTGGTGGAAGTCTACCTGATAATGGCCAGCTTGCCAGGCATGTGGTGTCCATTCGAACCCTAAACATCATTGAGTATGCGGGCGACAATCATTTCTGTTCGGGCGTCATAATCAGCAGCCGGACCATCCTCACAGCTGCCCATTGCGTTGCAGAGTAAGTGTGCGAGTGACTGAAGCAAACAAAATGGCGCTGACTGACTGCCTCCCTAAAGCAGGTACATGGCGCTTATGAGTCCTCGCAGGATAATTGTGGTCTTCGGCACGCTGTATAGGCTGAAAAGTTTATCGTTACAAGATCGCCGTCGCGTCGACCGCATAGTTGTGCATCCCAAGTATAAGAGGTATGTGAAAAACGACTTGGCTGTGTTGCGTTTGGTGGAACGAATACCTCGCAATGTGCGCCACGTCAAGTCCGTGGTGAAGCGGAAACCCTTTGCGCTAGAGATCGGCATGCGCTGCACAACCATGGGCTGGGGCCAAATGTTCATGGTAAGCACATAACACAGCTCCCAATATTCGCCTCTACTTTGACGCTCTATTTGGTGCAGCACGGCCCTTATGCAAATGAAATAATGTTCCTGGATGTTGTGATAGCCAATCATAGTCTCTGCAGCGAGAAAATAAGAGACTACCACGCGGAGGGTAATTTATGCACAAAACCGGAGGCTGACGGAAATATTTGCGCCGGCGATATGGGCGGTCCCTTGCTATGCGAGGACCACTTGGTGGGCATCATCGGTGGAGCTCAGCAATGCATTCGTGTTGACGCCATTAAATTCGTAAACTACACGTATTTCGAAGGCTGGGTTGATCGCACAGTTTATCAGCTAACAGGAGCTGCGGCGTTCCACAATCTAGCGATATATCTATTAATTAGTCAAGTCATGTAGCTTTAAATAAATGTGTTTTAGAAAAGTGGATAGAAATGTGCCGTCTACCGCAGTTTGTCACTTTTCCGACAGACATTTATAATGAAGTCATAAACACTTCAGCCATTCCATTCCACAAGTCAACACCAGAGATTAAATCAACAGCCACAAACTCACACACACTCACACACACACACCCACACATACACACGCGCACCCTCATGCACTTGGTGCATTAACAAAAACAAAGTCACATACATGCGCTTCCTTTGTTTGTCTGGCTGTGTGATAAGCGATCACAAAAAGACAAAAAAGGGAAAACTAAGGGCTCACAACTGTTTGGTATGCTGGCACAAAAATTTACATGCAACACTGTGCGCAAAGTCAAACGGAAGCGGAAGTGCAGGCGCAGAAATAATAATATAAAATGGCTGTGCAAAAAGTTTGCAGCTGGTCACAAATCATCGCAACGAACGTGAGTTGACTTCTGCAACTTGAACTTCTGTAATTCAGCGACAGCGACAGTGGCAGCGGCAGTCAGACAACCCTACTGTCGCCCGGCCAGTGTTGTAAAATGCTAACGAGAGTGCCAAATGCCAGTTTTGTTGTCTTGTCGTCTTCGCGATGACTGAAGAGTGCAAGTGCAAGAGCAAGAACATTGCCTCAAACTCACACTCAGACTCAGACTCAAGACTCCCATCCACAGCTAAATTAGTTGGTGTTGGCATCACTATCACCAAGCAGCATCTTCATTTTCAACAGTTACGAGTATACGAGCAGCGTCTGCTTCCTCTTTTACTTTTTCTTTGTTACCTTTGCCAGCGCCAAGAAGTTGCAACTATAAAATTCCAATTTACTCTGCATGCACTTGCTTGCTTGCTTCTCCTACACAGTGTGCCATTTTGGCAAACTAATGTCAAAAAAAAAGAAGAAAAAGAAGCAAGATTCAAGTAATACAATAGTCAGTTACAGTTTTTAAATACTATCAACCAGCTACTTTAATTAAAAAGTATTCCAATAAAAAATAAATAGGACTACAATGCATTATAAAACGGAGAAGACAGCTCTATATGGTTTGTAACAAGCTAGTTCTTCCATGGATAAGAAAAGATAACATGCAAGTTTGGGGTCCGCAGACATATTGGTTCAAAGATTTTGTTTGCAAGAAGACGACTTTATATGGTTTGTAACAAGCCAGTTCTTTCTATGAATAATAAAAGCGAATCTTCTTGCTATGCTGATTAGGGAAAAGTAGAAATAATTATTTGTTTTGGTTTCGTTTCATTTTGTGTTTAATATTTTTAAATAATTTCGCATTCGGCAATTGTGTTGCCACAAATCGTGGAAGCACTTGAAACTATTTAAAGGTATGTGTCTATTTGTAAATAGTTTTAATTAAATGTTATTTTTAATTTTCACCTTGATATGGATTATCAAAAATAGAATATCAATATTTATAAAAACAATAAAAGCCTGTGCTTTCAACGAAAAGTATTTCCATAATAAAAAATATTGTATGTACGCGATATGATCCATTACCCATTTAAAGCAACTAGTATAGTAGCAGCAAAAAAGGACCGGATAATATTTTTAAATAAAGCTGCTTTGCCGTTAAATAAAAATATTACTTAAATCAATTTATTTATTAAATGTTTGAATTCTTTAATATTTTAACTAATGCTTTGGATTTCATTTATGCAACTAATACGAGTATTTATCCAACTTTTTACAGCGCTTAGAAAAAGGTTAAAGCCTAATCATATCATTTTCACTTTATTTTTAGCTGCCGAACCTCAATTCGACCAATGGGAATATAACTTTCATTTAAAAAGTAGTATTTAGTTTTTTTTCCACATTTTGAAAATCCAAATACAAGTAAGATTTTTTTAAATACACCAGCACTTGTAATCATAACTAATTAACGTTTTGTGTAATTATTTAAGACTCAAAAGTTGTATCCTATACTTTATACTATATTTAATTAAACTAAGGATAATGCAAATAAAAAGTAATCATATACGAACATTTATGAGAAGATTTACTTCTTTATTTTTAATTCACAGCTTTATATAGAAACTCTAATCGTCTGTTGCTTTATTGCATCAGCATAGTTATACTTAAAAACCTTCAGAAGCTATTACTGCATTTCGAATTATTCAGGTATTTAGTTCATCTATGAACAAGAGCTTTTGATTTTGTATACACTTGTATGTATGTATTATTATACTGATTGCTTTATTACAGCCTCTCCAATTAGAGAATGATATTATTCCACTGTAGAGTGAGCCCCAGGCCGCCATTGCAGTTGCCATTGGCTTTTGGCTTTTGGGCTACAGTTTTTGCGTTTTTTACTACATTCTTCTTTTATTTCTTTTTTTGGCGCAATTTTATGTATTTTTATGGTAGGTTGCCGACGCTTCTGCTTCTGCTGCTACTGCTACTGCTGTTGCTGCTGTTGCTTGGCCCGGAAAACGGAAACCGAAAATTGCTACTTATTATGTTACCAACTTTGTGCTGGAGCTTCGGCCGCGTTTCTGTTGTTGCCGTTGCTTTTACTGTTGCCATTGCTGTCGGGGCCCTCATGATGCAAAGCCAAAGTATCTGCACATAGATGTGTGTAAGCGTTTCTCTCTGCCGTTCTATCTGTGCGTGTGTGTGTGTGTCTGTGTGTATGTGTGCGTGTCGGCTGCTTGCTTGTTGTTGGCAATGTTGGTGTGTGATAATGTCAGGTTTTGTTAAAATTAAATTGCATGTCTTGCTGCGCTGAAGTTAAATTATTACCCCAGGCAGACAAGTATACACATACCTACCATTCGTATGTATGTATTTATATATATGTGTGTGTGTAAATGAGTGCGTAACTATGTTTCCATGTGTGTGAGCTGAGACATGCATTTGAGCTTCAACGCTGCATTATTTTTCGACTGCTCTTGCAATGCTTGTGATATTTTAGAACTATTCAAGGTTGTGGTTTAAAACAGGCAGTGATATGTGATATCCAATTAGGGTAAGAAAAAGAGGCAAATAGTACTAAACTACATCATAAGCTAAACAATGAAACTTCTGCGAAGGCAACACCATAATAAGCCACTTTTCATTCGATAAGAAACACTCGTTTCTTTTGGTTTCAATAACTTGTTCATTTAATGTTCCACAATCCATGAATGTGAAGTTTTTTCTAATCAAAAGAAATCTTATCGATCCATTGTGAAGCGAGAGTTATTCGATGTTGAGAATTGTTAACAGAAATATATACCTATTACCTATCACTGGGTGAGAGATTCCTTTTTTATTTATTTTTCTTGTAATTAATTAGCTATTAGTTAATTTAAGTTTCCTTTTATTTATAATGTACTTTTTCTAATGTTTTCGAAGGTCTATGAACTACTGACTACAATTGAATTTTAGGATAGCTGGCCGAAGGCGTTTATTAGACATAATTGTAATTCGATTTGATTTCTCCTATTTAGGCGTTTTTAGCTTATAAGGCTTCATTATAACGTTGCCGATAGCTTGTTTTTGTCGACATAAACTAAAATAAATGAGGTAAATTAAATAAAAATAAAACAATATATTTAACAAAAAACCGAAATTCTGAATAGATTTAAGTATTCGAATTATGTTAATGCTAAAGTAATAATAAAGCTATTTTCTCCATGCTGCATAAAATGTCAAAAATATATGCAGCAATTAAATATATTTACATATATGTATATGCTTTTATTAACTTGTAAATGTTTTATCAATATATGAAGAGTTTAAGTAAATAAGTAAAATTATGCTGATTGCAAGTTCAATTGCCAATCAAAACTTATCCTAAAAAATTTATAAAAGCAAGTTAGCATCAATATTTTTAAAGACTATGAGAGATATACAAGTACCTTTAAGAAATAGTATATATAAGCAATTGTAGTTTTAAGCAGTAAGTTAAACAAAACTTTAGCAGACAGTATGATTTATTGCTGTCGACTTGTGTATCGCAAAATTTAAAAGCTTTATAATGCTAATCAAAGATATGCTTTGGCTAACTTTCCTAAAGGAATATGCAAAATTCCATAGCATAAAAAAACCCGTCCTCTACCCATTTATATGCCAACGCAGGCAAGCTACATAAGCAGCACACATAAACATATATGTTCATACTATATATACATATATCATACGCCATGTTCCCTGCCAGCAGGCGCGCTAAAAATAAAATTTCGTTGGCGCCGTAAAGTATGCAACAGATTTTTTCTTACGCTAAGCACCGCATGGCGAATACAGCGTGAACAAGCAAATGGAGCCGCAGACGCAGACGCCGCCTCAGCCTCATCATTGCCGATTTTTGCATATGGTGCCGCAGAATGTGCGCCACACGCTTTTCTGTATTCCACATGCTGAGATTTTACCGGCATTGCAAAATATTAACAGCGCATATACATGCAAGCCCAGCAGGTGGGCTCAGCAGGAAGTAAAACGCTTCGTTCAACCAACAAGGGGGGTGAAATGTGCATGTGTGTGCGTGTGTGTGTGTTCGGCTGCTGTGCGCTATAAGGGTAAGGATCTTATGTTGAACGCATGTGTATTAAAGTTTAATTTACAACAATTTTGCGCCGTCATTTTTGTTGCTGCGAACAGTAGTTAAAGTTTGATTAACTGGCAATTTGGAAGCAATATTGCAATTGCACTCCAACTTGTTCAAAGTTTCATATCGCGCATTTCATGTTTTAAGTTGGGCTCGAGGGCTACCTTTCTACGTGCAACATACTCGTACTAATTCTAACACGAGTTTCGAATTAAGTTTACAACGCCAACATAGTATAACCTAATAAACACTTAGTATATGAAGCTGTTTCAGAATGAAAAGCAATTCCTTTAAAGTCAATAAATGGCAATCATTTCAATTGAATATTTATTCGAATTTGCTTAAAATTTTATTTTGATAACAAAGGATGTTTCGATGTTTATATGCCTGCAACCATGCATTAAAAACTTACATTTTTTAAGCTGATGAACAAGGTTAGCGGTTTGAAAGATTA